TAGTGATACTGGGAGAGGTTGTGCAACACTTGGTGCTGGTGAAGTTGGTGTTGCTGGAATTGTTGCATCTGGGCTTGCATTGCCCGCATGCACTGCATCAGGTCGTCCAACCGATTTTGGCTAGCTGCCAGGGGGACGGTGGTCGGTTCAGCGAAGGTAGTCTCGATGGGGAGAGGAAAGGGGATGTTTGTGGCAGGAAGGTTTACAAGCGCCACTGCTTGTGGCGCATTCAGATTGGGAATTCTGTCCACCGAGAGGGGGATGGTGAGCTGCCCAACACACACCACGGGAATTTGAGGCTGTTCCCCGGTCGTGTTTGTCTCTGTGCCGCGTCCGGCGTTGCTGGAAGAGGCCATGAGCGTTGAGTGGCTGGAAGAGGCCACAGACGGCGCCAATTGATGATGCACAATCCGGGCGATCTTAGCTGTCAACGATCTTGCCTCTGAACTGAGTGACAGGGACCTGAAACGGAGGGAAAAGAGAAGCTCCGGGGAGAACCCGGCGTAAGGGCTCCGAAGCTCAAGTTAGAGTCTTTCAAAGGCAAGATAGACCAAATAGCGCAAAAGTTAGCATACCTCGTTCCTAGGGGGTAGGAGCCTTTTATAACCACCTCGCGCACTCACTTCCAGGCTTCCGTCAGATCGGGCATGATTATTTCTGAACTCCTACCAGTTCGGATGTCATTTCCTCTGGCCGGACAAAACCGCCACTGCTCCTTTTGTCGGAGCCGTCTCTGCGGCTAGTAACGACGGTGGCAAGTGGTGGTAGCAGGAGGCCGTTTGAAGTGCGGCTGTCAGGCGTCAGATCCCAAATCAGTCAAGTGCGTCGCCCTTGGATACGGACGTCCTTGGTGTCAGGTACGTTTGGTCAGCCTGGTGTTTCGGAAGCGAAGTGTTTGAGTGGCAAGCGAGATGTCTTGAGTTCGGTTTGGGGAGTGTTCCGAGCTGCCATGGGCCAGCTCGGATCACAGCTTTGTGAGGCTTGGGGCCCAATATAGTTCGTGCTCCTTACAGGGAGCTCGGACTCCCAGTAGGGAGCTCGGACTCTTGGTAGGGAGCTCGGACTTTCGGTGCTCGCTTCGGGCGCTCTACTGTCCCGAGTTGCTTGTTTTTGCCACGTGTCGGGTGATTGCGAGGTCGGGCCAAATTCCCCTTCATCAGGACCTAAGTAAATTTTTTGGCCACTTACCCAAGAAATTCTTAACTTTCTCTGGTAAATTACTTTTCCACCTGAAAAAAAGATGTTAAAATTTAACAAGACAAAAATACCAATTAAACAAGTGCTAAAAACAAAAAGGTACAAAAATAAAAAGGAAATAGCAAAAACTTACTTGAACAGAAAATAACACAACAGGTAAATAGACTTACTAGTTGAAATCTCCTGCCAATAAAGCATATTCTAACCCTCTACCAACCTGATTTAACACTGCAAATCTCACCATGAGACTAAGACCCATCCTAAAAGTAGGACCCTATATCTACTAGATCCACCTGGATAAGTGTTAGGTCATGTTTGGGAGTGCTTAAAAATCAGTGCTTATTCAAAATAAATGCTTATTTGGGCCATTAAACACTTATTGGCATTTGGGAAATAAAGCCCAAAATAAGTGTTTCTTTTTTAAAATAAGGACTTATCTTTAAGCCCAAATTTCCAGCTTTTTTTAAATGCTTATACAGTAAACTCTTATTCAATTTTTCTTCCAAAATTATCCCTAGTTGAATTTTATAAAAGTACTTTTATGAAAGCACTTTTAAAAAACACATTTATAAAAGCACTTTTACAAAAGTACTTTTATGAAAGCACTTTTACGAAACTACTTTTAAGAATTACTTTTATAAGCACTTTTGTAAAAGTACTTTTGTAAAAATGCTTTCGTAAAACTACTTTCTTAAAAGCGCTTTCATAAAAGTGATTTTATAAAAGTGCTTTCGTAAAAGTATTTTCATAAAAGTGTTTATAAAAGTGCTTTTATAAAAGTAATTTAATAAAAGTGCTTTCAAAGGGCATATTTTGAAAATTTGAAAGAAAATGAAAGACAAAATAGTCATAAATGCTTATTAGAGAAAAGATTATCAAATACCCAATATAAATAAGTGCTTATTTTAAAAAATAATCACTTGAAAAAGTTGGGTGCCAAATGCAAATAAGTGCTTATTCGCATTTAACCTTGGTAGAAAATAAATAACCACTCGAATAAACACTTATTTTTAACTTAACCACTCCCAAACATGACCTTGGTAGAAAACAAATAGGGCCAAGAAAGACTTTTGACCCAGATGATTGGTTGTCTTTTAGGTTTGAGAACTTTTAGGTGAAGCAGCTTTGATCTGACCATGCCCACCAGGCACAGGCATGAAAATTGAGATTTGTACCCAATTTTACTTTTAGAAAATTAATGATAATAAAATATCGTTGAGGTATACAAATCAACCCAACGTTACCTTCAGCCATTAAGGAGCTCATGACTTACTTTAATCGCTTATTCGAAGGAATATGTCATTCAGTTCAGCCACTTCAGTAAGTTATCCAACGGCCCAATTAGTGAAGATAACAAGGGAAGTTTGTAACTTTCAACCTCATTGTCTTCTTCTATAAAGTCGATATGTAAGAATGCCGGCCGATATCACAAGAAGTCAAGCCGTAAAGCTTGTTGTAGAGGTCAAACTTCAAACTACTAAGTTCAAATCAGTTCTGGATTATAATTGATAAGGGCAATTTTTGGGCCCTAATATTAATAAAATTAATTATTTTAATATAATTTTTATAATAAGTTATTTTAAAAAAAATATATACAAAAATGGGGCAAAAATACTGTTCAGCGTCTTACTCCCATTGAATAAATATCTCTCAATCATAAATTTTTACTCTTTTTGTTATTTTTTTGTTCATCCTTGTAAAAAGAAATACTGAATATCCATAGCCCAGATGCGTTGCAAACAGAATCCTGTTCGGAGGATGCACCAATCGATCGTTAATTTAATATCCGTAACCCAGAAAAAGAAACAACAACATTACCTGCACTGGGCGTGATTCAGACAAGTCCTGCGATCATTCCCCGGACGGCTCCGATCACCGAAGGTTTGTTAAAGAAGATGACATCAAGGCAAATCCAGACCAGCAAACTCGTCGCTGCACAGATGTTCGTGTCCAGTACGGCCATGGACGAGTCAATATTCTCCGTGTAAGGATCTCCACCATTGAATCCAACCCAACCCATCCACAGCAACCCTGCACCGGCCAACATCAGTAAAACGTTGTTCAGTGGGAACCTCTCCCTGTCCTTTGTCGATCTCGGTCCCACCTGTAAACAGACTCAAGTCATCAAGTCCAGACGACCAATTCCCTCCCCACCGTTTAATTAATGATTCGATGAGATTCAGCAATAAATACTAACCCAATAAGCTACCGTGAAGCCGGCGATGCCGGAGGAGAGGTGGATGACGTAGCCGCCGGAGTAGTCCATGACGCCCCAGTGGAACAAGAATCCACCACCCCAGACACTGAAAGCACCGACTGTGTAAGAAAAGGTGAGCCAGAGCGGGACGAATAGCATCCAAGCCTTGATGTTCATTCTACCCAGGACTGACCCAGCTAGCAAAATCACTGTGACCGCAGCAAACACGAACTGAAATTAAACCATGGACGCCATAGGATAAAACGGTGCAATCATAGCCGTCTCCTCGGTTCCATTATGGTATAACTGCGTCGTCTCCGGCAACCTCGCTTGTCTGATCAGAAACTTCTGGCCTAAAGCAGGGCCGACCTTGCCCCAGAACGGGAGGAGACGATCACCAAAAGACATCTAGTAAGCCCAAGTGACCCAGCAGATTAAGACGGCAGCGAAGGCGTAAAGCGCCATGAAAGCTGAATTGACTGCCCATTTCTTTTTCACTATGCTTCCATAGAGGATGACGAGACAAAGCACGCTCTGCATCCCGACCAGCGTCTCCGATATCATCTGCCATGCGTTGTCTCCTTTGTTTAGCCAGTCCGGCACTGACGATGTTTTGTTTTGGTAGGCTATCGACACTACAGTGGCCGCCATTTCTGAAACAGAAACAGAAATCTCCCACTCCCTGCCTCGAAGTTTATAGAGATTTATTTCGGTAGGCTATTGGTGCATCCTCAGAACAGGGTTTTATTTAGAAAGCCCATCTAGGTTATGGATATTCAGTATTTCTTTTTAGAGGAGTGAACAAAAATGTAGAGATTTATGCTGGAGAAAGATTTTGAGAGGAAGAAGATGAACACTGTTTGGTTTAAAAATCTTGTGCCAAACTGCGGAAAACTATTGTAACATTACTGATCCTATCTCTTGAAAATTAATACCTCAACATGAACTAAGCAAAATGCATTTTCTTTATACCAAATTTTAAAGAATGTGGATAATATGCGTTTTATTTGTTTAAATCGCCAAGAGATGGATTTTTCATACTATACTATGGAATATAGTGCATTAATAAATGTTTGAAGTTTGAACGTAACACCAATTAACTAAATTCTGTTATATGAATTATTCACACTTGCTAACAGTGCATCCGTGACCAAGTACCAAATAATATCAAGGTTGTTTCCCTTAAGAAAAAGCTGTGGCAAATCGTGGCCAAATATCATTATTTAAGAACTCAAGGAGGCCAAGCTGTCAAATAACAAGGTCCTATATATGACTAGTCAAGTTTGGTTCGGACAAGGTCCTATATTTGCAGCAACAGTGAATGATTGTACGTACGTAGTAGCAATTTATTGGTTCGGACAAGGTTCTTAAAATCGACTCGGACAAAGAACCGGTCAAGGTCTGGATTATGGGATGAATGGTCCGACCGTTTGAATTGAATGAATAATCTGTTCTGACGAAAAAATAAAAGAGTGGCCAAATTGTTGAACGATTCAACTGTTCGAATCAGTAGTTTATTGACCAAATCGACGGTTTTGAGAGAAATAACAGTTGAATCAATTCCCAGTTTTTTCGTTCCAACCGTCTAATCTGATCTGGTTTTAAAAACCATGGGTTCTGATATGTGGTGAATGATACATCTGTAGCACCCTCTAATTAAGTTAAATTTAAGGCAGTTTATGAGTCACATAAAAAAAAATGTAGCAGGTTCCGGATTATACCACATTATTTCTACAAATACTGACAACTAAGGTAGAAGCCAAAAATGAGTTCCTTTCAACCATCCTCCAAATCGGTTCAATCCATTCCATTGGACAGTGGTTCTCTATATACACATTTAGGGCCCAGTCCATCCGGTTCATGGGAAAAGGGGTTTAGAATTGGTCAATTATTTGATTGGGCGGAATTAAAATCTAGTTTGGGAATGAAATCCCATTTCAGTTTATTCCAATTTCTATTCTCATTCATGTCTGAATCAAACAAACTATGAAAATAGACTATCTCAAGTCCTTAGTTTTAATCTTTGGTTCTCAATTTTGAAGATGAAGACGCTATATCCATCTATGAGATTATACTGTTTCTCATAATCATGGCATCATATGTACACTTATTACAGGTGAGAGAAGTGCTCATCAGTAAGTCCAAATAATTAATCCCTAAACTAAATTACTTGAGTTTGCATTTAACTAGCTAGACTTGGATTGATTGGATTCAAGAAACTCAATTCTGCAAATTTTATGGACTGGTTGTTTGTTTGGTTTCCGATCCGAATTCAACACCTCTGGGCTCCACTCTAATCCGAATTCCAAATACACACCTCTTGATCTCTTGGGTAATGTAACATATAACATTGATAAATGAAAGAGGCGAGGATCACCTGTTGATTAATTGATAACAACTTCGTTTTTCCACTATAACACAGAATACTTATTATTCACGCCAAGCCAAAGGCAAAGCAATTTTGCCTCTAAAAGAAAGAGAAAGAAGACTGAAGGCAAAGGGAAAAACACACACAAGACGCAACAAAATAAGAACAAAAGACTGGCATGGGTGCTGAATATGTAACCCAACAATTAAATTAAAGTAACAGATTAAGCATAGGCGTCAGGATTTTGTAAGAGGTAAGCTTCCACGGCCTTGTACATACCCAGAGCTCCTTCTTTGCCAGCCTTGACATCCTCTTCTGTGAATTGGGCATCACCAACAGTATGGTACTCACTTGACATCTTACAAATGCATCCTCCATCAGCCGATGCCTCAAATTTAACTTCATAAACAACCGATGTAAGCTTATCTCCTAAGGCATCACCTTCTATCATAGTGTTCTTGCAGATGAAGTTTTCTTTGTCCAGTGCATCTATTCGGTGCTTCACATATTTGTAGGGACTGGCTGCAGATGACAAAATTAAACAGAATATATATATATATAGTTATATGCTCCTTTCTTGTCCAATATCTCCCCAACTAAGGGTGGCTCAGTTGGTACGTTAGTTGGTTAATTAATTCTAATAGAGATAGGGATTCGAATCTTGCTGCCACCAACTTCGGTGATGGTGGCGGTGGGGTTATTAGTGTGGTGTTGCACTACTCAACGGCCCTAATGGGGGATTCGGGTGTATCACCAAATACCAAAAAAAAACACTTGTCCAGTATCATTAAACTGTAAATCAAGTGAAGTTTATAAGACAAACCTTCAGTGAAGTTGGTCTGTTTGATGGTTCCAACCCCTCCATCTCCGAGAATGTCGATGCTCTTTATTGATTGAGGCATGAGCTTGGGGCACAGGTTGTGTGAGTCAAGGATCAAAGCCTTGAACATCCTGGCCGGAGGGATAGCACATGTGAACTCCTGGGTATATATCACAACACCCATATTCAACTAGACTAAGAAAAGAACTTGCGAGAAACAAAAAAAAAAAAAAAACACTGAACTAAGAAAAGTAGGGGGCTTCTATTATGGAGTGGCAAAGAACATTACAAGTATTTATAGATGAAGAGTGAAGTTTGCTGTATACACAATTTCATTCTTTGGTAGTGCATTATTTAAAAGAAATATTAGATGGTAGGTATGTAAGAATATTCTGAATTGAATGTAACCTATTAACAGCCGAACCAAAGAGTCATTTTCAGATGTGGGGAAGTTTATCAATGTGTCAAAAACAAAAGATTGTAGAGTTTCTCCAACGTGAACTGTTTTTAATGTAAAATTCCGATCCGAAACATAGGTTCTTCGATTCGCTGTCTAGTTTTATTCTTGTTGTTTGAAAGACTGAAGCTAGAAATTAATACATTGTTGAATTTCTGTTTTTGCAAATATGTTTTCCTTTATCATACTTGATGAACATGAAGCATATAATATTCACAAACAAATTTTGATCAAATAGATAAGAGTTGATGAAGGGAAATTTGGCCCGATCTCGCAACCACCCGATACGTGGCAAAAGCAAGCAACTCGGGGCAACAGAGCGTCCAAAACGAGCACCGAAAGTAACGGTCCAAGCTCACTACTGAGCCCGAACTCCACCAGACCGGATTCTCTACTAGGAGCCTGAGCTCCCTACCAAGAACCCGAGCTCCCTACTAGGAGTCCGAACTCCCTACTGGGAGTCCGAGCTCCCTATTAAGAACCCGAGCTCCCTATTGAGAACCCGAGCTCCCTGTAAGGAGCCCGAACTATCTCGGGTCCTAAGCCTCACAAAGCCGTGACCCGAGCTGGCCCATGGCAGCTCGGAACACTCCCCAAACCGAACTCAAGACATCTCGCTCGCCACTCCAGCACTTCGCTTTCGAAACACCAGACTGGCCAAACGTACCTGACACCAAGGACGTCCGTATCCAAGGGTG